TGGTGATGAATAACCTAGACGTTGGCTGTTTGGAAAATGTCTAACAGCCCCATGGAAAAATTTCCTCTTAAACACTTGCTACAACATACATTCGTGAACACATTCGGAATCGACTAGAGCCACAAATTAGTCGAGTTTTGAATGTAATTGAACAGGTTGTTTTATATTGGAGTAGCGAAATGGCGAATGGAGGTCGTTAATATAGTGTCGGTTATTCGCGTGACAATTATTTGTTCGATCTCATTACCTTGCAATCCTAATTTAAGAAATAATGGTTTCTCCTCGACAGTATTTTACTATACCTTCCTCATGTTAATTTTATTGTACTTTCTTACCAATCGATTCGGACACCGATTGCTCCCTGAACATTCATTAGTGGGATGGATTTCTTCCTCTGATGTTTTGTTGAAGCCAAGATCTCCTGCTCTCTAGTACAGTGTTCCAGGCAAACCTCTCGCGTATCTAATAGTAAATTCAATTTTTTGTGTATCTGTGCTGGCTGGATCAAATTGCAGACAATCGGGTTTTCATGGGATAGGTTCATATCAGTGCATTCGGGTGTGATTACATATGTTTGAACGCTCTTCATGCAACAGTTAATAAACACGTCCGTAGTTAGCCATGAGGACTATATTCTCTCTACTCTAGTTAGGGGTGTTAAAAGCAGCCAGGCCACCAGGTTAGTTGGGCCAGTCTAAGGAGTCAGCAGTGAAGGTAACCAAAACTCATGTCTGGCAGGATAAGTGGTCAGACAACAAACATACACGTTAGTCATATATGGTTTAATTCGACTAGAAACGATCCCTAATTCGTTCAGGCGGAGTGGCTAACTTGTCAACTAGAAGTTCATATATATGAAGAATTACTTGTGAGTGGAGAAAGTACATTCCACTTTAATATATAAACATAGGCATTATGACTAATCGTAACAGTGGCGAATTCGGATGCATAAATCACTCGCGGAAGTGAAAGTAGCGTGCAGATTTTGTAACGAAATAAAAACCTTTATAGAGAGTATTTAGCACTTTTCTTCTCTTCAGAGAAATGCCCAGGGGTCCATTCCGTGGAGCGAGAGGCACGAGCCAAATAAGCACCAAAATCACCTCAACTGCGTTTGTCTGGACAACTAGCCCCGACTCGAATCAACTAAACCGCGCAAATACCGACAAGGTGGTGGAGATGGTGCCACTTCAAATAGGGGATATGCTGTCCTGGGGGGTTAGCTGATTACTGGATGCTGAAACAATAACATGTGTTGAAATATCTGATGGAACGTATTAATTGGGTGAAGTTTATTTAGCGCACGAAATAAGTTCAAATGGTGTTCTCCGCGAGTCCCCTTTTTCTGATTGAATACTAATCAGTATGAGATAAAGACGTTCACACCGTTTCCATCCGTCATGTTGTGTCATCAAGAACACCTTCAATTGTCTTTTAAATCTTCATATCATATGATTCGCTATTGGCTGACGCACAGTCGTGGAGACGTTGTATACAAGGATGAATTATCGAAATAATATAAACTGACGCAACTGCAGAAAGCATCACGTTACTAGATACCTGGCGATCTGGAACAACTGGAGATGTCATTTGTGTGGTGGGTGGTTTTTGATGTATGTCTGCGACATGATCCGACTTATTTCGCTGCGAGAAATCGAGCCAAGAACAAATTTATCATCGCCTTAGATAGACTGGATGTCTGTATCGAGTTGAGACATAATCTAACTGACTGTCTTTTCTCCTTGGGTACCGTCCACCAAGTAAAGTGGTTAAAAACCAACTTTGTGATTTGTGATCAGCAAAACAGATGTATCATAACCACGTAACAAATAGTTGAATTGTCTCACTGTCAGATGGATAGCTACTAGGAAGCAAGTTAGTCATTACGCCTGAAGGACTCTGAGCCACATCCCGATACGCTTCAAATAGAAATAACGCTCAGAATCACCATATGGCCACCTACCCTGCTAGATATCAGTTTTGGCCTCATTAACGGCCGACTCTTAAGCCTGGCCCAGACAACTTCATTCTCCCAAATCATGAAAGGAGATACTATTAACTCCGTTCTTTGATTTAGTGATCCGCATAGTTATTTTGAACTCCAAGATATCTTTTCAACTTGTCCTAAGTCTATTTTCTAACCCCTTAAATTTTTATTATTTTCTTATACATATGTATTCCTATGAAAAACCCATGTGTGATCAAATTGTTCAGAATGTGTCATAAAAATACATTACACGACTCATACGAATAAGATCTTCTAATGGCTTTGTCTAAATTTATAAAAACAACCAACTTTTTCAGATTATATGAAGACGGTATGGAGATACACAATCACACTCCAATGAACAGCTGCACTACTGCTCTGTAAAATCCAGTTGTCCTCCATGTGATTCAATCTGCACGAATAAGCCAACTTCTTAAATGAGAAACGGCTGGAGCTCAGGTGGATGAATGACCTTCTTTGGTCCAGTACAAGTAAATGTGCTTCTACCATAAATCCTTAGTTAAATTTTAGTAGGCCCAATTCTTCTTGGGGGTAGCTCCGTCTCATATATTCCATTGCATGGCCATTTATACAGCTACCCGAGAAGCACAAGTAGGCAAAGCAAGGGACACCTTTGGATTTGGTAGTACGTAGCATAAATACTTGAGATTGTGCATTCTAAGCATCAGCAAATGCCTCTCTCGTTTCTTGTGGTAAATTAAATTTTCCTGAGTTTCCCTTGAGAAGATATGATTGAGGCACATGAAAGGATGAAGTGTAGATACAAATTATATATCTTAAAGGAGCGCCGAATTATTTCCAAGGAATCTGGTTTGGGGCAATTTCTAAATGTTACTTCCTTCGCTCCATAGGCTTGAGAAAATCTTATGTGGTTTGATGTCCCGGAAACTCTAGTGGAGAATCACCTTGTATATGTCATTTTGGGATCAATAACCCCTACTTATGATATCGAGATTGTTATTATGCTTATCGGTGAAAGTGCTCTCTGTAGGAGAATCATCTATATGCACAAAAATGAAAACTCTGGCCAACTGGGTAAATACAGCGTGGGAAAGGCTGAGCGAATTTCTTAAACCTAGTGGCGCGTGCGGGAGATGAATTGTTTGGAAAGGCGTCATGACAGCCACTTTTTGGTCATCCGCTTTGATCACTACAATCAGGCGATACTCCTGGGTCAAACCAACTTCTGCATATATGGATTTCTCATTAAGTTCGGTAGAAAAATCATGCAGATACAGGATGGGGCTGATTAGTCACCACAAGTCACTAATCACAAACGGTCTCAAGGAATTTATAAATGAGAAAAGCTCATGGACTGTCGGAGGATCTGATAATTCTCATTTGCACCATATCCTGGAATTCTGCCTTGGCTGATGCTAGTATGTCAGGTGGTACAAGTCATTAACCCCATGGAACAGATTGCACTTCTGCAGTGATTTTATGTATTACTGTTTGTGGAGCTTGATGAGTTTGACCACGAAAGTTACGGACCTAACGGAAATGTATCAAAGTACCGAAAGTGAGTTCGCTTGTATTTCATTGCAGGTACGACAATGAAAATAAGTTGCAATGACTCCATGAACTTTTAGTGGAGTTCAGGAATCAGTTAGCTTTTCACTGCTGGCGTCAGGAAGTAGATTCACAGTTCTTAAAGGGTTGTAACATTGCGACCTTCATTCTGGCGTACAAATCCACGTTATTTTGTGCCTCAGACCAATACCCAAGTAACAGCTCACAACAGAAGTGCAGGTTAGTCCGAGCACCATTACGGGACAGTAGTTTCGTATATACACTCACAAGTTTCCTTGATAGTGAATAACACTAACTTCTGCCCCTATATCTGCTAAGGAGGAAGTAGGTGGGTCACAGGAGCCTGAGTTTCTCTATACTCACCTGTAGGACTCGCAACAAAACTCACAGTAATAAGGCAGATACTGAGAAATTTTAAAAGGAAGGACAATAAGGTGGCGTGAATCTAATTAAACATGCGGGCTTACCATAAATTTGCCATGGATGTGACTGTAGATACTGACGAAATATTGAAATTAAAGATTCCAAGAAATTACTGTGAATTATTGATAAAGGTATCAATTTAGGCATTGTGGTAGAGTATTACTCAATTATGTTGATATATATATGTATGTAAATGAAGTAAAACTTGTGTGGGTGACTTGATGTGGTTTGTGCTCGAAACGCCATCAGTTAATATTACTCTGTAACAATGTTTGATTCATCAAAATAAAATCTTATCTATAATGAAATGACTGTGAATCTAATGTCTCTTCCTTCATACCTTCTAAAAGGTTGAAAAATATCGGAGAGCTTAAGAGGATAAGAGGTAGATATATCGCTGTGATGCCATCGTTAGGACGCTCACCGACCATGCACATGGTTCGGGAGTCGATCCCCAGCCGAGGACACCTGATATCACTGGTCAGCCCGGCAAATTTGGGCTACCGATACTACATACTGAAAATTCCATACTTGTACCAAAATACTGTGTGGAATCAAGGTATAATAAAATAAGAATATTAAATATTCCTCAGAGTTACTTAATCTTGGAAACGACTCCCAGAAGTGATTTCTGAGTTGTTGGGGGACCAATTAAACTAATGCTTAAATAAGTTCAGATACTCACTGCAGGAAATTGCAATATGCAATATCCTCACCCGGAATGTCAACCGAAATCCGATTGAATTTGAACTATTATTATCTCTCCTCTTTTAACGACGATACCGGAAGATTAACTGGTGAATGGATCAACTCCATTTACAGTGGTAACAGTCTTAACACACCGCATACTGGAAAAACATATAATTAATCCCAGCACTACTCCTTTCAAAGTCAACCAAAGCTCCGACAGTCGAGTGGCGGGACGAGCTACGCAGAAGTTCACTGAAGATCAGGAACTTATACATCACAATCAAATTGGTTTATACTAGCTCGTACTGGGTACTGGATGACCTAGACAAGGTTAGGTGTGCAACTTAAAATGCTTGGTAGCCGTAGGGAGAAGTTCGCATCCATATTTAACAGGTTTGTTTGTAAAATGATGGAATACGAACTTCTGTTCTAGAGTTAAGGGAATGATAGAGAAGGGTGCATTAGCCCACGAAGACCGTCCTTTATGGTACGATGTGTACAAAGCATTCCCTCCACGAGTTGATCCAACATATGATCGACAGTGCCCCACTAATGCTGTCCGAAATATTTTGTATCCAGAGGACCGTGAAAGAGCGTAACGATTTCAGTCATTAGTTTACCACTTTTACCAGGATTTATAATGCAGGACAGTACAGATCGGAGACTTTGAACATGTTTAGACTCACAGATAACCGGTCAACTCTTTACAAGTAAGCGTTAATACCAGTAAATGTTGAGTCTAGGATTTTGATGAAGTGTAAGAGTTTAAAGGAACTGCATCCGAACGCATCTGGAGAAGAATTAATGTCTTTAGCCGAAGAAGAGTTGAGAAAAGAGGGAGTGATGATCAGACGCAAACCTGATAATACAGTTTGACCCCTTATGGTATTTGTGTGTAGAGTTGTATACATCCTTATTAAATAAAATAATATCCCCTTCCTCTGCATTCTACTTGGCTTTATTTGAGCAATTTCGAATGTTTCAGAATTGTATCATTTGTGATAAAATATCTCTTATCTGGAACCCTAGATAGTATTAAGCGTTCCAGATGAAAACCTAGTGTTATGAGGCATATTGAGAGTATTTGAATTGGCTGATTCGCGGCAAATCATCAGTGGCGATCAGGCTCGGGGGAGAATGTTCTTTGCAGGTCATGTTTAGCAGGCCCTCAAAGGGATTTTAATGTCGTGGACTCTTAATAATAATTACTGCTGCTCTGCCATGTCTTACTCATGAGCACTCCGTTTTGGTTTACAATGTGTAATTAACCACGAATTCTACAGTTTGCACTGGAGCCAAAAAAGCTTATGTCATTATTTTACAAGTTGTGTACGAACTGAATTTACGTACACTTTCAGGCCATCTAGTAATCCCTGATTCGCTCATTCAGTATTGTCTATAGTTGTTTATTAGGAAATGTTTTCCTTAGGTGCTTCGCAAAACTCTTGTGCTGTCACATCCAATGGCATTTTATACTGTATTATCATTCGTTTTCTCCATGACTTCATTGCGTTTTAGCTTATGCTTCTAGACGTTTTACAATTCTGCAACCACAGCTAGTAAAGACTATGAGCAGTTAAAAATCGAAATCATAGTGTAGATATTCAGTTTGTTTCAGGCTTCTGCTTTGAAATATATATGTTTGTGGTTGCGCTCACATTCCGAAGTAAAGGCGGTTTTATTGGCTGAAGTGAGTTTTTAACAGGTTGGGCATGAACGAGGTTCTCTTATTATAGACCCCACTAAAATAACGTCCTCGTTTAGTTGTGAAAACGTATTGGTTATTACTATCAAGACTAGAAATACTAAGTACTCTGGGTAAATTAGTCTGTCACTAACGCCATCCTTATATTATATGGGTTTTGAGGGTAGCTTGAGTTCATTGGCCTAATTTTGAGCTCCTTACTAAGAATACACAACTGGTAGGTACGTGACTAGCTGACAGTTATCCAACTGTAGTTTTTAACTTGTAATTATTTTCTTCCATATTATTGTATTTACGGAATACTTCAGTCGTGGCTCTGTATTGAGATAATTTACTAAGAACATTTGGTGTCTTATTTTAGAGTTTTCGGCCTGTAGGGTGAAATGAAGGGATTTGTTTTATTTCACAATTTTAGGAGCTAGTATTTCTGGGCACAGCTTCAGGGTTTCCTTCTCCTCATCGAGGGGCTTCTGGAGTTGTTTTACGTGATCTCATTGTTGGTTCACAGTGGTTATTTGACTGCGGTGAAGGTGTACAAATACAAGCACAAAAATCAGCATTCGTTCATTTGGGGAAAATAAACAACATTTTTATCTCTCATCTTCATGGAGATCATATGTTTGGTCTTCCAGGACTTTTATGTACAATTGACCAAAAAGGAAAGGCAGGTGATATTATTGTAGAAGACACAAACGCACAAAGTGCTGATGCATCAGTCAATATTTATGGACCGAAAGGACTTCGTAGATTTGTTCGACTTGCGCTTGCATTATCAAGGTGAGTTGCTGGTTAAGAGTTATAGTAGATCGTGTGGTTTTTCATCTTGTTATATTATCATATGATAAGGTCATCTTTCTTTTCAACAAATAAGTGGACTTTCAGGGCTATGATTGAATATCTTTTTATCTTTCTAACTTTAATAAGTCACTTTCATAATTCGCTCTGTTATGTAATCTAACCACCACTTTGGAGTTCTTACTCCATAAGGCATGACATTACTAGAAAGATTATTTTAACATTTTTAAGTGCTCTTTAAAAACAAACACTTGAGAGTGTAAGCTTTATCTGTAAAATACTTTGTCGGATTACCACAAATACCTGTTTCAGTAATCATATACTGATTTGTATACCAGGCTACTCGTTGCATATTTAATAACATCTAGCTAAATATTATTTCGGTGACCGAACCTTGATGGATTAGATGATTTTTCAAACCTTTTGTTCATTGTTTGGAGCTTGATTGTCTTAACGAGTTAATCAAAATCACTCGCATCAAAAACGTCTAATTATCATTGGCGAATTTTTCATCTGTGACCGTGTATGCTAAATCATCCGTTGATTTTTAGCCCTGCGCTGTTTCTTCCAATCGAAGTATGTGGTAGTATTGTCGAATTTCATTTTATGAATTTATGTGCGATTAGTTTAAGTTCAACAGATTCTACTATTTTTAATTTGATGAAGATTACAGGGTGTTGTGAAATCTCAACTGTTACTAACTTTTTTCATTTTTTCATCCTAGTGGGGAGTTTTATGTTCATTTTGATCCAACGTCGATGATGCTTTTGGCTCCTCAGACTGAAATATTGTTCTACTTAAGTTCTTATATCTTATATGGCATTTCAAATTTATCTAAAGTATATCTTGTAAAACAGACTGCAAACGTATTCATATTTCATTTATCTTCAGAGCCACTTTAAGCTATACTTATGCTGTTCACGAATTGGTTCTTGAAGAAAAACATTGTCCGCCTAATTGGCAGGACTGGGCAAGTCTGGAGGCCGATGAAACTCGAGACCCACCTTTGAACTGTGAACGCCCTGGTCGAGATATTTATGTTCACGATGACGGTAATGTTTTATTATTGGTAAACTCATAAATACTGAATGTCCATGGTGAAACTCTTATCACTTATTAGAATGTTGATTTCTTTTCTTCGCTTCAAAACATCCAGTCCTCGATTGGCAAACAGTAATACTTATTTCCTAATTTTCCCTCTTCCACTAAACAGAAATAGATTCTTTCTCAGCTACTTTTCCATTAACGATTCAAATCTGATGTATGTATTGAGATAATACATCAGAATTATGCCCATGGAATGATGTTGTGTTAGTTTATGACTGTCAGCGTACGAAACATGTGAAAAGTAGCCATTGGAATCAACATAGAAGCTGGAAGAAAAGACATGTAATTCATGTGTAAGAGGTAGCAACATACTGCAACATGTTTGTTGAGAATTTTCGAATTTCCCATTGCATGATTTCATTAAATTGAAATGCTTGGTCTCTGTTGGCCTCTCGGCTCCTAGTACACACACTTCGATGATTCTTTGAGGTAAACTTGATGTTATTTAATTGGTGATGGTTACAAAGCTGAGTCCAGAACACACGTCTTATTCCATTTGGGGCTCATCGGCTAGATGCATGTAAATCCCAGTAAGTGACTTGTGGTTTAGAGTCTCTGTTTAAAAGAAATATCAAATTCTAGTATTAAGTAATGACTTTAAAAATTCAAGTGCACTTCAATAAAACAGAATAATAAGCAGGAACTGGTCAATCCATCAGTAACAAATGGTCATTCATTGGTCTCCTTACACCAGTGAATCCAAGTCAACTTGTCTAAGTAGCGAAAAAGGAAAGTCCCATTATAATAGAAGTGTGGGACTAATAATAATTTTATTAGATTGGTATCTATTAGTGTATAAGTTCTTCATGGTGGGGAACTCGTGAATTCCTAAGTATCATTAGAATTCAAACTTAAGACAGTCATTTAGTAAACTTTTTGTCCTTTCCTAGTCAATATGATTAAAGTCTCGTCTGATCTCTTTTAGATGTATTTCATGGAATGCTTATCACTAGATTTTTGTTAACTCCTTTTCTTTGAATAATAGGATTTTGGTATAATATTATGAACAGTGAAAAGGATGCGGCGACTGTTCATGCAATATCGATAAAGCACACTATTCCTTCACTGGGGTGGTTAATTATAAAACCAACTCATTCACCTTCCTTATGCGTTGAAGCGGCTTTAAAATTGGGTGTTCCTCAGGGTAGACTGTTTGGTGAATTAAAACGAGTAAGATTTATTATATTTTAAATTCTTATTGAAATAATTTGTAAATCTGTTAACACCATGTGGAGTCTTGTCATTTTATTTGGAAACTTGAATTTTTATTAACTCCTTCCTACGGTCACTGTAGGAAATTGTAAATACTTAGATAGTTTTTTTTACTGTAACCAACATATAGGCTTTGATAACTTGATCTTTTTCTCTTGTCTCACCTTGAATTATGGACAGTTATATCACACAGTAATGTGTTTTAAGGGAACTAATTATAGGTAAAAATGACTGACTGAGTTTGAATATAGAACTTTGCACAGAAGCACAACACTTCATACCGTCACACTCCGCGTGGCATGCAGAGAAAACAGAAAAGAAAGAGATTCAAGGGAGGAACGTACGGGAGAAATACTATTCACATGGAAAAGCATGAGGTTTTAATGGATATGAGAGATCACAAACAGATTACAGTATACGTGTAGCCCTAGCCAACTTACATCACTTCTGATGTAGGCATGATATCCGGTTGTCGATCAATGGACGTGTGTACTGCCCAGAGGTGTGCGCCGTCCTCCTTTATGGCTGTGAGACATGGCCATTAAAAGTGAGAGATAAAGGTTAGTTGCCTTTCACCACACATGTTTGCTTTCTATCTCCCGTGTTAAGTAGTATAATATTGTCAGTAATATTGAGGTTAGGCGTGGTGTTAGGTAAAGAGGACAAGTCAATCTATGAGGTTGTGAAGTTACATAGGATGAGATAACTAGGACACGTGTTGCGCATGATGAGCCATCGCCTTCCTCGGCGGGAAGTGTTAGCTGACATAGGATTAGGTTGGAAAAGAGTTAGGAGTAGTCAAATTAAAACACGAAACAAATCCGCGAAGTCACTGACTGTTAGTTTGAGTCACGTAGGTAA